GTACACACCCCAGTAACTAGCCTGGTCCCTGGCTCACTGTGGTGTCCAATAAGACGTTGAAGAACTAACCAGGTCAATTATCAGATCCATCAGAAAGCTTTCAGAAGGAGAAAGGTTTCATTTGGTACTTTCAAACCCTGTGAGAAAACCTACAGTAAGGGGCCCAGCCTTAACCTCAAGTAATAGAAATAGGATCAAAGGGAAAAGGCCCAGGGCGTAAACAAAACATATGTAGGAGGGAGAAGTTTCAACTCTAAGCCCAGGGTTTCAAGAGGCCAAAATTTCACAACCCTCCCTCCACAGGGATGGAGCCTTGTGGCAATTGTTTAAAGTCCTGGCTAAGATGGCCTCCCATACCTTCTTCCTTATAACCCCAACCCTCCCTCTCTCAAACATTAATTTTTCTCTGCGAATAGCATTTGATCTCTAATGACATCCATAATCTCATCAAAGTACAGCAGAGTACCCTGACTCATCACAAATCCTCCCAGAAGTGTCTGCTGCTTACGCTGAAACAAAGAGTGATGTGGAAAATCAGGGTTGCAGACTGGTTACCACCAGACCTCCTCTGTGACACAGGGAACCAACCTGCCCACCTCTGATGGGAGACAATGTGCAAATGCCTTTGACCACTCATTGCAGAGCCTGGCCACTGCGGCAGCACGAGGCATCATGGTAGGAAGCGCAGCTGTTGTTAAAACTAAGCCCAGCTCCCTCTAACCTGCAGTACGATGAGTTGGTCACTTTTGCTGGACCTGTTTCCCTGCCCACAAAACAGCTGTCCCTGGGTTGCATCCTTCTGAGATAGCCACCCCCCAGCAGGCAAGGCAAGGTTGTGGTCATTCATTCACTGTTATTAATTAGGCATTAGGCTTTTGCAAAGCTTGGGCAGATTTCATAAGATGTAGCCAAGGGCCTTGACCTTAGCTTTCCTAGAGAACTTCTCTCAATGTAGTGTCAGAAGGTGCCCCTGGATTGGGTGAAGGGAGTAAGGAAGGAACGTATCAAGAAAGGAAGGCACCAGCTGATAGAGGACAGGAGAAGGGTCTTGAGCCCAGCTGGTGTGGCTCAGTGGTTGACTGTCGATCCATGAACCAGAAGTTAATGGTTGATTTCCGGTCAGGGCACATGCCTGGGTTGTGGGCTTTGTCCCCAGTGAGGGGTGTGCAAGAGGCAGCCGATTGATGATTCTCTCTCATCACTGATGTTTCTGTCTCTCCCTCTCCCTTCCTCTCTGAAATCAATTTTTTAAAATTTTTTTTAAAAAGAAGGGTTTTGAGTGCCCTCAGCCTTCTTGTTCTGAGCCCCACCTCATGCCTCTTCTCTGAAGTTCCATAACGTGGACCATTTCATTATACTTGCCTCTGTCTTTCTATAGAAACCTGCTCTAAGGAATGGCCTTATAGGTTTATTTACACTAACCTGTAAAGGACTGTTGGGGCTTCATACTTGTTCATTTTTATAAGGGGGGAAGCTTTCAGTCAAAGAAATAAATAGCTTCAGGTGAGGTCAGGGCGGGGGGGGGGGGCGGCGGTGGTCAAGAGCCGTCCTGGTGATTCAGAAAGCACACTACACTGCCTACTCCAGCCAGCCAGCCAGCCAGGGTGCTACAGGCTAGCTGTGGCGGGGTCGGGGCTGGAGTGGGAGGGGTCAAGCCATGGGTATTTAGTTGAACTGACTGAGCAAATCTGAACCCTCTCCCTGGAAGCAGGAAAGTGGTCAGGAGAATCCTGGGGGGAAGGGACAAAGGCCGCTCCATAGAGCAGAGGTACACGAAGGAGGGAGGGACTGCTCCCTGCAAAGGCACGTCTCTGGGAAGGCAGTGCTGCCAGGAGAGCGCAGAGTTCTGTGTCTTCAAAGTGTGACTGTTAGACAATGGAAAGTAGGGAGTCTAGCTTCCGGCTCTCTGAGGCATCCTCAGCCTCCTCCCTTGTGCCTTCCCACCCCCTGAGACATCCCAGGTCATGGCTGGCATGTTCGAGAGGAGCTCATCTCATGGGCAGATAAAGCCAATCTGTAGCCACCCTGGATACACCGGGGACTCCCCATCTGCCCTGTATCCTGGGACCAACGTAAGGCCTGGGCCAGATTATGCTCCTGGTGGGCAGTCGGGGGTTGGGTGGAGAATTCGGGTTTCCAGAGAGGGTCAGAGCAAAGACAGGGAAAAGGACTGGCTGGTAGTGCCACCTGCCCTCCCCCCAGGGCGGCCCCACCCAGCAGCCCTCTGGGGTCAGGATAGGGTGATGCCCGGGTGTGAAGGGGCTGGCTCCCGGCAGCCTGTGTAAGGGCTCCAAAATAGAGACGACGGAGATGGGTCAGAGCCAGTCCTGGGACACAAACAGCAGAATATTTTATGTGCACG